CTCAATCAGCAAAACAGCCCCAGACCATCACACTACCACCACCATGTTTTACTGTTAGTATGATGTTCTTTTTATTAAATGCTATGTTAGTTTTATACAGATGTAACAGGACTCAAAGTTCAGCTTTTGTCTCAGCTTTCCACAGAACATTTTACATAAGTCTCAGGGATCATCAAGATGTTTTTCGGCAAATGTGAGACGACTTATCGTGTTGCTTTCGGCCAGCAGTGGTTTTCTTCTTGGAACTCCAATGAAAGCCATTTTTGCCCAGTCTCAATGCGCTCTTAGAGTAAATTTTGTAGGCCGACTCCTAGGAAGGTTCACCACTGTGTCTATCACCGTGGTTCTTTGGAGTCCAAAGCCTTAGAAATGGCTTGTTTAACCCTTTCCAGACCGATAGATTAAGTGACTCAATGGTTCAATTCTCATATGTATTTGAGTTTCTTTTGATTGTGGGCTGATTGTTTTCAAGATCTTTCACTTTGTGAGGCAGGTTCCATTTAAGTGATTGCTTGACTCAACAGGACCGGCAGTAATCAGGCCCGAGTGCGGCTGCTGAAACTGAACTCTACTTTCCAAAATAAAAATGTGGCTAATCACAGTTAATTCATGATTTAACAATTGGGGCAAAAACACAGGGCTAAGTAGGTTTGCATAGTTTTTTTCCCCTCAAATAAAATCATCATTTAAAAACTGCATTTTGCAGTGACTCTGGTTTTCTTTGTCTAATAACACAATTTGTTTGATGGCCTGAAATATCTAAGTGTGACAAATCTGCATTTAAAACAGGAAAGAAAGAAATCAGAAACGGGGCAAATGCTTTTTCAAGGCGCTACACATAGAGTAGATTCTCATGTTAATCTAAAAAACTTTTAAAAAGTACCTCATATAAGTACCTCACATGCCACGCCCACCTCCTCATATAACAGGGTGCTGCAGCTGCAGACCAGGACAGCACATCTGCGGCCCTCCCCACAGGCCTAAACTTTTCATCGGGCTGTTTGCGCTCTCTCTCTCCTTGCTCAGACTGACACATGTTAACCCTGCCTAGCTTTATGCAAGGGAGTGTGCTGTGTTTTCCTTTCAGTTTGTTTAAGAGATTAAGCTGGTGAACCCTAACCCAGGGAGTCCCCAGAGTTCATACCAGCAGTAGCAGAATACTCTCCACCCTTTGATGACAATGAAATTTATTTTTCACAATATTCATGTCAATCAACACATGACAGTTTGTGCACCACAGAAACGTAGGGAAACAAACGCCTTTATAAAGGTGGCTTTAAAACTATTCCAAGTATCGCTACCAATTTCAGTGAACGATCTCTATGTAAAGAGTTGGTTATTCCCGTCTCTCGGGTTGTGCCCAGGCTTTATGATGATAGCTTATATTTTGCATGCTGAAATCACAAGAGGGCCTTTGTCTGGACAACATTTACATCTCTTAACACAGCTGGCATGGCCAACCACTGGCACAAAACAAACAAGGAAGCAAGATAGAAAAACAACTCATAGGTTAAGTTACCACTAAAGAGGTCTTTTAGTGTTAAACATCAAAACAACATGGACCATTTTGGACTTTTTAAAATAAACTGAGGTCGGCTTTAAAGTAAACTTTGAATATAAAGAGGAAAAAATATCTGTTTTGACAGTTTTGGTTACTGAAAATAAATACAGGCCAATTATAGAACAACAACAAGATAACTGTGAGTAATGTATATTGATACACTCATGTTACTGTTTTTTAATAGTTGTAATGATATTAGTTAAAATATTTGAAACAATGTCATTTAAAGTATAAATATTTTGTGCAGCAGATTTTTTTTTCTGCCATTTCAGGATAGCTCACCAAATTTAAAATAATATGTATTTGAAAACAAAAATAATAAAATGAAATCAGAATTCACTCCACAAAGTATGCAGACTTTGACAGAGGGGAACAATAGAGCAGTAGAGAAGTTAGGTATGTTAGAGCATGTGATGTTTAAGGGGGCGTGGCCCTTCAGGTTGTCTCTGCAGGTAATACACTCTTCAGGTAAAGCTAAGTGACTCATTCGCACACACACCTTAAGCACAACAATTGGCACTTCAACTCTTCACCTTAAACCGACTACACTTTACGGGAATAAACTGAGTAAAGACCCGCATTTAACGAAAGAGGACTTCACAGAAGAGCCGTTACTTCCACTGCTTTTGAAGAACTGTTGAACTGTTTGGACCCAGGACCCTGAGCATTTACAATCGAATGCAAACTTGGAGCAGGACTGCATATCAGACAGATCTCCTGTTTTGATTTGCACTGTCAGGGTACTGCCTACTAATTTGCTTTCTCTGACAGAGGGAACAACGTCAAAGCTGTGCCACTACTTCTGCCGTGCAGCTTTTCCAGTAAGTAATCTATCTCTTTCTTTTGAACTGTCCATGACAATGCCAGTGGTCAAAGTAGAGAAAGACTCTCCAGCAGATACCACCTTGCTTGCCTCCAATCCTCCACCGCAGACAGAGGAGCAGCCGCGGGGTCGGAGGAGGAAGAGACCTCTCCAGCGCGGGAAACCACCATACAGCTATATTGCCCTCATCTCCATGGCTATTGCCAACTCCCCTGACCGCAAACTAACACTGGGGGGTATCTACAAATTCATCACAGAGCGCTTCCCCTTCTACAGAGACAATTCGAAGAAATGGCAAAACTCCATCCGCCATAATCTGACTCTGAATGATTGTTTTATCAAGATCCCTCGAGAGCCAGGACGACCTGGGAAAGGCAACTACTGGGCACTGGACCCAAACGCTGAGGACATGTTTGAGAGTGGCAGCTTTCTGAGACGCAGGAAGAGGTTTAAGCGCTGCGACCTGAGCACATACACTTCATATGTGCATGAAACACCAGTTTTTTCCCCCGTTCAGATTACCAGACCAGCTGCGTACACCAACTCAGTCTATCCCAACATGACACTCAGTCCCACATATGGACAGCAGCTGCCTTCTGCCTACTATCCCTCTTCGTCGCCTCCGGGGTTTGGGCACAGTCAGACCCGCATGTTCAGCATCAACAACATCATAGGACACCCGACTCCAGCCAGCATGCTGGCAGGTCAAGGACCAGAGGTGATGCAGCAGCAAAGCCGGAGCTTCAGTCCCGAAGGGCTTCCGAATGGATCCAGTCCCTGCAGCTTGGGAGCTCCGGGTTTCCAGAGTCAACCGTGCGGGGGATCTGTGCCACCCCGCTCCTCTACACATCCGGCGTTCACCTACTCTGGACAAAACAGCCATTCGCACCAACATGCACACCAGGGCTCGTACGGACAGGGTCACACCCAGGGCATGGGGTACGCTGCAGGAGGACGGATCCACCCCTCAGCTCACGGCCCTGCAGAAACAGTGGATCATTACGGCAGGGTCTCCCCAGTGCAGCTGGGGTCTTTCTCCCAGTATAACAGCGCTGCAGGTCCTATTGGAAACACTGGGGGATACCTCAGACACCCCACCTACCCGGGGAATATGGACCGTTTTGTTTCTGCTATCTAAGCTACTGAGAATGTAAAGCCCAGCATCTCACTACCTTTTATTTTTTGTTAGGTTTTTTTTTTTTAAACAGAGACTCGTGACGGCACCAAATGAGCCAGACATTTCTGTGCACAAAATCCAACTGCTTTATCTTTGTTCGTGACGTTTATCAAGGACAAAACTGAGCAGACTGACCTCTCTTAACACCACTGTGATTTTCTGAATAATTGTAGAAACCATTTTCACTGCTGATAATAACTTACTTTAGATATCCATTAAGCTGTTTTGTTTTAATGTCTAGGCCTTTTTAACAGCAAGTATGTGACTGTAACATACATATAATTTTGTGTGCTGATATTATTTTTTTTTGTTAAAACTGGAATGTGCCAGTTGAATATTTTACACTTCCGTTGAGTTTAAATGAAATGTTTGTATAAATTATTGTGCTTCGTGGTCATAGGCTTTGCAGCAAAGTGGCTTGTGTGAAAAAATAATATCAGCTTGTATTTTGTTGCCAAGTAAATATGCATTTTTAGTTTACTGTTCTTGGAAATAAACAATGATAAAGCACCTTTGTTCTATAAGAATAAAAGATTTTAAATTTGTGATGAGTGATTGCAGTTGAAGTAGTTGTGAAAGAAGAAATTTACACCATATGAGTTATATTTGTATCAGCTATAAGTGAATTCTAATTTTAAGTCTTATAAAGTAACGAGGGCCAAAAGGTCCAGACAAAATTAAAGCAGGAACACACACACACAAAAATAAGTCCAACCCTCTTTCTTTTGTGCTTCTAATGCTTTCTGGGTCAGCTCAGCCGGTTTGAAGTGCCGTCTGGAGCCACACCAGTAACCGTGACCGGTCTCAGCCGCATGTCGAGACACCAGTGCAGCACTTGGCCACATGCAAATCCACTAATCAAGAAAATGAATAGACTTGCCACTCGATGCTTCATGCCTTTGCGTTAAGACCACATAATACCAGAAACCTCTTCCACACAAACCCTGCAAATCGGACGAGATGAGACACAAAGAAAACAATTAGAGCTAAGACAATTGATTTTTTTTTTTTAATAAGAAAACCTTTGGTGATTGATGCAGCTTGCTTTTATCTCCAGTTTAAAAAGTTTTCTTTTACCGCTTCATGCTGTGAAAACCCTTGGAATAAATAGAAAAGTTTTTTTCATGGCCTTGTAAAAACAACAAAAAATGGAATACCACTTTATTTCAACTGTCGCTTACTTTGTTGCACCTGGGATGATGGCACACACCTCCTTAAAAAGCAGAAGACGTGGCAGTAACGTGGCATTTACACCCACTCGCACTGTAGTTTAATATGAATGAGACATGGGGCTCCATCTTTTTCAACTTTTGATGTTAAGTGAAAAAGCAAGATTCTCTCTTTTAAAACTGCAAATCTTTGTACACCAAAGAACTATCACTAGACCCAAGATGCTATAAGAGAAAAAAAACATTTACATGTTCAGCATGTGTGTTCAGTGTCCATAAAAGATATGGTTAATATCAGCATTATTTTATTCTCAAATAATTATTTTATTCTCAAAAATACAAACATTTAGAAGGCAGACAAGCTAAAACATGAATAAACACACACGAGGGAAATAAACACATCAGCCAATGTATTCAACGAGCTGCCGGAGCTGTTCACAGTTCTTCACAACTGCCGGCAACGACAGCAAGGTCTGTGAGGCAAAAAGGAAAAAGCAGCAAATTATGGCAAACATCCAAACAGACGCTGCGATTTACAGAATATGTTCCATGGTATGAAACATTTCTCACCTCCCGAACTCTGTTGATCATGTTGTTTAATATCTGAAGCTCGTTCTCACTTTTCTGCTGGTTGCTCTGATAGATGATTTGCTGTAAGAGATGAACATCCTCATGAACGCTCACATGGCTGGCAAGAAGACCAGCTAATGTTCCTCTAAGTCAATAAATACTGTGTGAATGCTGATATGTAGTCAGGAACGCGATTGATGCCGGGTACGGTCAGGACTTACATGTCTCTTTGCCCTTTCAAGAATTTTTACTTTGACCTGCTCGGCTTCCTGAAGACTGGCCTTCAGTCTCTCCACCTGGGGATCAAATGGAAGTTTATGAGAAAAGAGGAGGAGGGGGGGGGTCCCTTTAAGCTGCAGTGTTTCCTCAACAACAGGCTGAAAAGTCAAGTTTACTTATAAGCACATTTAAAAACAGCTGCTGTTGACCAAAGTGCTGTACAACTTAAGTAACATAATAAAACCATAAAACTGATCTAACAAGAAAACATGAGTTTAAAATAAATAAATAAATAAATAAATAAATAAATCCAAACTCGGTCAATTTTAAAACTTGAAAACTATGGAAATACGTAATAAATAATGCTTCTGATAAATCATACCTCTTTCAATGACTTGATGTTCTCTTCCATGAAATGTTCCTGTTTAGTCGACTGGCCGCCAGCTTTCCTCAATTCATCCCGAAGGAATTCAGACTCCACCTTCGACTGCTGGAGAGCGCGACGAAGCTCAGTGATTTCCCTTCTCAATTCCTGGAGAAAACGTTCATTTGCATTTAGACAATAACTACAAGAATACGTAGTAGCTTAGAAACACCGGCAGTAGTATTTTGGTGCCTTACATTATTGTCAGTCTTCTGTTTATTTAGGATTTCCTGTGTGTCTTGCACTTCAACTATCAACTTAGCCAGCATTTTCTCATCCTGAAAAAAAACAAATGAAACTTCAGCGTTTTTCTCTTCCATCGGTCAGCCGTCCTCCGCACCCATCCTGATCTTTCTTATCACAGATGAATAGAGGACAAAAGATGTCCAGCAAAAGTCATCCTTACCTGAGTTTTCTGCTGCAGAGCCTGATTTGCCTTCTCGACCAGCTGACTCAGACGGCTGAGTTGATGCTTGAGCTCAAAAACCTCAGCTTCATGTCCGTTCTTTGCAGCACGCTGCTCCACCTGCAGGCCACAGCTGGAATAACACATCAGATAACAGTTGGGGGAGTTTAAAAAGAAAAAAGCAACAAGATAATTGGATTACATTTGATGTTAATGTACAAAACAACAACTTTCGAAAAAATAATTTATTTCACTTTGTTTTTAAAAATAAATAAATAAAATGAAATAAAATAAAATAATAATTAAAAAAATAATAATTTTACATTACAGCTTACATTTGGCCATGCAGCTCCTCCAGCTGAGCGTCTCTGCGCTGCTGCACCAGCTTCAGAGTGCTGACGAGCTCGGTGACGGTGCTGCCCAGGCCAGTAAGCAGCTCCGCCAGGTGGCTCTGCTCCTCTTCCTCTGGTTCAATCTCGACTGTGCTCATATTCTTTTTAGGAGTGATGGCTGCGATGCGGGTGAAGGCGCTCATCTCGCTGAACAAAGCTTCACGCTGTGGCTCGAGAGTGTCTGAAGGGACTGAAGAGAAAGTAAAACTTAGTTGTTTTTTATTATTATAATTACATTTTAGACTTTTGTTATCTGTTCCATTTTTTATTACAGTCCCTGGTGGCTGTGCAGATATATTCCCACCTGAAAATGATTCCTATAAGAAAAACATTGCCCACTACCTCCTTTATCAAAGGGAAAAACAGGATGAATTGAAGTGCATGTGTAGCTCATATAGAAAAGTTGGTAAGAAAAGGACCATTGAAGATGATTTTTTATATTATGCAATCATATTATTGATGCCTCCTTGAGAAAAAAAAAAAAAAAAAAAACCCCAGTTCTTTTGTTTTTTGGTAACGCACCACTAAGCCTTCAAACAATGAAATTAATACCTCCTTTTCATAAAGGAGACACATACGACATGCTGAGCACGTATTCAAATCATGTTTGAGACATTCAAATCACACTGCTCTCTGAGGGAATCTCAACGTGACTATTTAAAGAGACTTGCTTGCAGCTGGCTTAACAACATAATTACACTGGACCACATTACAAGTGAACTAAAAACTTTTTGAATTTGAAATTTGAATAGTTTGATCTTCATCAAACTACAGACAGCGTAATCTGTATAAACAAACAGCTGTACTTTCCATGTGAAAACACACAGTGATTATTCATAGGCCTAAAAAAGAAAGTGAACCTCCGTGCTAACAACTTTCACAGAAGTCAAGTGTTTGTGCATTGCGATTTGAAGGAGGTGACTCACTAACACGACTATGTAAAGTCTGGTTACTGAGAAAGCCTGTTCTTCTTAATGAGGAGTCGCAGCACCGTAGATGAAGCGTTACAAGCTAGAAAAGGTGCTCATCACTCCACAAGTGGATGCAAAGATCCCCATGGCAACTTGTAAGGCTAAAGAAAACCCCAAAAGTAGGAGCATATGCATGAAATCTCATGTGTCGACTTTAAGGAAGATACAGCAAAGGAATGTGCTGTTACCCAAAAAGACAGGTCACTATGGGACGATGTTATGTGGACAAATGAAATGACAAGTCTGGAGGAAACATGCCATCACACACCACCAGGAGGGATCAGCCCGGGTGCAACGCCGGGGTCTGACAGTTCAGGTATTGGCTCAGAGTCCTGACCTTAACCCAGGTGAGATGTGGTAACCTGATCAACTGAAAGAGTGGAAGCTTCATTAACAGTTACAATAACATCTGATGGAGCTTGTTGCTACTAAAATGAGATTCTATAAGTGACTAAATTCAACCAGCTCGACCATGTTTTCCAGCTTCAACTCTGTGTTTGAGTGAGTGATGTGATCAGAATCACAGTGCCTCCTGTTGTGTTTAGGATGAAAAACAAATGCTGACACGTTATATTTTTTTAATAATCAATTTAAAAGAGAAAAAGAAAAACTAGCATCTTACTTATGAGTGAACTGACACACATGGGGTGAACAACAGTACCTGTTTCAGCAGGAGTGTCTGTTTTGACCTCTTCCTCTCTCTCAGCAGTTGAGGCACAACGCTCCACGCTGTGGACTGCCTGAGACTCTTCACACATCTGTGGTTTCTGAAAAGTAAGACATTTAAATCCAAGTGGGAAAAGACATGCAGTACTGCATCTATAGCATAAGTTCAATAGTAAATGATGTTACAACATGATTTATAAATGCTGTAAACAGTTGCTTCTGATGTCCAAATTACAACTGCAAATGTCAAGAGCTCACGGCCACAACGACGCATTCTTTTAATTTAATTTCAAAATTAAGCTTTGCATACTCTATGCATTTGCATTACTTGT